CCTCTTGCGTGGCGGGGAAGACCGTGACCTCCTCACCGGTACGGTCAAGCAAGACACGCACCGCAGTGATTGATGCGTTCCCTCCTGCATCGTGAGGGCTTACTGTCACTGTTGACATCGAAGGAGGGCACCCTGCGAAGCTAGTAACAGTACCAAGATCCCCGTTGAAGATGTGTGGCTCAACATTCGTGTTGCATATTACCCGGCAGAGCTTCTTGAGAGTCACCGTTGACTTGACCGTCAGTTTGGCTGCCTCTTCCCTGCTGATCCCGTTGTCGATGATGCCCGCGACGAAGGTGTGACCATTTGTTGGTAAGCTGCTCAGATGCTGCTCGTTAATCTTGGCTGCCTGACTCCGATAAAGCGTTAAAGCCGTCCACGAGGTTTCGTGGGGTCCTTCTTTATCCACAATCTTGCTGAGAAGTGCCCTAGAAGTATTGCCTAGGGGATAGAGGTTAGTAGGGCTCCAATTCCTCATTTCCTTCAGAAGGTTGAGGAAGTCTTCGTCCAAGCCGTCACCTCGGTATGGCGATGCTCGTCGGCCTCTCCGACCTGGCCTCCGGTCTGTCGGTCGATTATATTCGCCCCGGTTGAAGGTCTCCAGATAGTAGGTTTCGATGCGTAACTTCCTCCACAGTGAACACTCCCAGATCGGCCCGACTTCTAACTTAGAGAAGCGCCCATGCCTCTCCGGCTCAGCACCACGAAGTTGAAGTCCATCGCCAACGATCAGTATGCCAGCACCGCCGAAGGGTCTACCTCCGCCGTCGTCCCGGAGCTCTCTCATTGCCATATCTGTAGCATGGAAGACTGTGTCGAGTACGGTTGTAAGCTCGTCGAAGACCACGACACATTTATCTCGTAGACTTGATGCTCTGGCGGTACGCCTAAGCCCTTCGACCATCCTTTGAGAGAGCGTTGTTGGACACCTGAAGTAACTGTTATCCATGGCTTTCCCATGCTCGTGGTCGAAGTCCAGTCCGAAGAAGCTCATGAACGTGGACCCTCCAGCGAGAGTAGCCGCCATCCCCGTCGATGTCAGGACATGGACATTGAAGTGAAGCCTCCGCAACTCGGCGACTATCTCCCTTAGTAGGAAGGTCTTCCCAGCACCAGCGATG